TTGATGCCCAGGAGACCAGTTTATAAAGATTCTCCTGTAGTGTTAATATATCTTGCTTGCTTTTGACTGTCATGAATAAAAGGCTGTCGTCTGCAAATAGCTTAAGACTGGCTGTGAATGATAGGTTATTGCCCATATCATTGATATAAACAAGGAAACAGAGTGGTCCAAGAACTGTTCCTTGAGGAACTCCTGATTTTACTGGAGTTTTTGAACTTGATTCACCATCGAGCACTAACTGTTGTGATTTCCCACAAGCCAGGATCTGAACAAGTTCAAGTTATTATTTGCTATGCAAATCGTATTATATATCAAAATAAACTGGTAAGCTTCTATTAATTAGGCTATAGTGCAGGGGAACATTCTAGACGATGTTGTCATCCATTTGTTTTGGTTATTTTGTGTAGATATTTGCAGATATACGTCGATTCATATTTAGATTTTGTTGGTCCCCGACGTTCTAGAGGACGATTCAACATGTAATGTTAAAAGGTTGGCCTTCAGTTTTGTGATTTAGGCCCAAATTAATAAAAATAGGGCCCAAAAATGCTTGGTCGGTCCATAATATTTTGAAAATTTGGGCCCAAATTCTTAAATAAAGGACACAAACAATTTTTGGGCGGAACTTTTTATTTTTACCCCCCCACCCGTTGATTCCTGGATCCGCCACTGTAATATATTTAATGGATGTTTTTTAATCAAAGTGCAAAAAAGTGAAAGATTTATCTTACTTCTGACTTCATTTTCCTTTGTGATGTCACATTTTTGAAATATCACACTGTATCCGTAAATTTGCTTCAAATCTTCAACTGTTTCTTCACCATCCGCATTGTTTACATCAACACTGCATACCTATCAGTTTTTGAAAAATAATTTAAATGTTTGTATTCTTGAGAAAATATATTAACATAAAATGTTGATGAAATTAAAATGTGATATATTAGAAGCATTTTACATTTTCTTATAAATTGGCTAGCTTGTGAGTGCCCATTTTGAAAAATGACAAGCATTTTATGCGTGTTATTTTATACTGTTCCTTAATATTGACCATATAAAAACAGTTTCCTGTGTTTTGCTATATATTTTTAGCATATACGAGGGTTGTCCTATAAGTCTTGAAATCAGATCTGACAGATTCTGAGGTGAGAATATGTTCATTGACAGCTTCTTGTGATAAACATCCTAATACGATCATTGATAATAAGAATCAACTCAAGGAACGATCAGAAACAATTGAATTACAAAACAGTGATAAAAACGCAGCAAGAAAAATTGGATCAAATGTTAACTAGAGTGGGACCAACTGAATCTTCAACTTTATGGAAACAATTAGGAAAACATCTATTTCGGAAAGGAAAGACACCAAATCATCACAAATTTGATGTTTGATTTATATACTAGTATGTGATATGCCATGACCTACAACTACAAGATATATGTGTATTAACTTCTTCAACTTATGCATATTTACTAAAATATCATAATCTGGAACAACTTTTATCTTCACTGATCTTCAATTGGCTTTCATGACATCAGATATACATATATCGTTAGTGACTAGCCTTTTACAACAATGTGCCAATCAAACCTATTCAGCAATCAATTTTCATGGTGTATTTGTCTTGAATTAATGTTTATTCATTAGCCTATATGGTGTATATATGCCTAGTATGGTTACAACAGCCTATATGGTGTTATATTTTGCCTCACATGGTGTTAATTAAGCCTAAATGATTTTACTTAATATGTTTTTTTGGAACTGCAATGGCTTTTAATTTTAGTCAATATTTTATGCTTTAGAATTATGTTATACGTAAGAAATATAGCCCGAAAGGCATGGGTAATATCGACGAATACACCCCGCAGGGCTAGGCACAAACGTTTTCTGTACCCCGAACGATCGAAGGGACTGAGGGGTTCGAAAGATTTTGTGCCTAGCCCCAAGGAGTGTATTTGATGATATTACCCCTGCGCTGAGGTCTATATTACGACTCGAACATGAAAACTCACCAAATTGTTTCGAATACTCATCATGGTCTGCCATTCCTACGATCCACCGTTATGACGTCACACATTACATGTACTAGTATTAACTGGGGTTCGAATTTGCTTTATAATGTTGACCATCGTCGATGTTATTAGGGGAGGAATATGCTCATTTTTATACAGATGTATTACACAATTTAAAATTACTTAAATTAATCGTTTTTGATACGTATCCTTTATGTTTTCTATTTATGGCCGAGTTGGTTAATGCGGGACGCAACCAGACGTTGTCCGTGTGAATGTAACACAGTCATTTTCAATTATACTTTTATGTTGATCAATCCCTTCATCTCATTTTAACGGGTCCCTTTTAATACCTTTTATGGCAATGTCAAACAGTTAATCCCGTTGTTTATACATACATATACGTGCTTTATATTATTCACTTCACCTTTTGTTTAAAACCTGTTTTATTGTAGTCCATACTCTGCTTATATTATATTCTTTTATATTCCTTCTATGGTGAAACACACTCACTCATTTGAGTTTGGGTGTTGCCCAGTAAGTCAGGTAGTTAGTCAATTGTTGCAGAGATATATGTATCAGATTTTGAAATAGACTTTTTAGACATTTTAAATCATAGGTTTCTGTTATATTTTATTTGCCACCCACGGTCCTTCCACGTCCATCTTACATATGTTACATTTATGTTTATATGACTTGTGGCATTATTACCACCTTGTCGGGTCAGTTCTAGGGGTTTTAGTGCTAGTTTAGAAGGCATTTATTTTACTATATCGACCTTAGAAATGTGTGACGTCATAGTGGTGATCCATATGGACAGGTGTAAAAGGGTAGGAGGTCCTATCAAATTATGGTCCTACTTTCCATTGATTTATATGGTGACCTAAATACAACTCTTTCCCTTATTATCGTAACCACAATCGGGGCCTTTAAGAAAGGGGACCATAATCCCCAGGGGACCATAGTTTCTTTTACACCGGTCTAGAATATATTTAGAGAAAAACTATTAGAAACCTAAATTAATACTGGTTCGAAATTATTAGAATGCATATCAAACTAACATCAAAAGTACAGTGAACTTACTTTGGCTCCAAGTTTGAGTAGAGATGTTACTATCGATTTCCCTATTCCACGAGCTCCTCCGGTTACAACGGCAATGCTTCCCTCTATTTTCATTGTCGGTATGCACTGACCATTAAATACGAAGATGATTTCAAAAAATGTTTAATTTTCAAACACTTGCAATTTTCACAAACCTTACATTACTGATAAACTTAACTTTTTAAGTAAAGCGATAATTTATCACGGTAGTTATTGTATTCATTAAATGGTTTACTTCTAAACGTTTTACTTAACATTACATATTTAAATAGCATCCAGTGACCCATAAATCTGTTGTGAAAAGAATGCATAACCAAAAGAGTGTAGGAGAGGATACAATTTAGTCTGTCAGTTGTAAACAATTATCAATGCTCTTTGTGAATAAGTGAATTTTCAAAATTCACCACAAACCCGTCTTCCTTGTTCCCAGATGGCAGGTGCTCCTTAAATAAAGGGTCAATTAACATGAGAATAAATAGAAAAATATTTGGTTTGTTTTTGAGTAAGTCTAAACTTGTGATTTATACCATATACTAGTATCCCCGTTTCCAGAGACAACTGATATAATTCATATTTTAATATGATACGTGATGTCACAATAGCTAGAACAATTTATTTTCTGTTCTATATTGGAGTATGTATGACCGCTTAAATTCATATATGCAAATAGTTGTGTTTCTTGTTTGTTTATCATATTGGAATCGGATCAAATACCTCGATTTTATAATTTATGTCAAATTTAATTTAATAATATAATGGCAGAAATATTGATTTAAATTTATAGTTTAGGTCATTTTGCTACTATCCTCAAGAGTGTAGCACCATCTAATGTGATATTAGTAATGTAAGTACTTGTTTTCTTATTATACTTTTGTAAAATTAACTTGTAGTAAGGAGTAATTAAAATGCATCATCGTTATACAAGCATATTTGTGTTCTTAATTCTGCATTCAATAATAAATAAACAAAAACGTATTTTAGTTGGAATTTTGTTATATCTTTGTAACCTGAGACTAATATACCTGTAATTAGATAAATCATATTTTGAATATACTTACAGCAAAACGTGTTGAGTGATATGCCTCTAGCTCCGAAAGCAGGACACATACACGTACCTCCAGGGTCGACCACTTTTAGATCTACCTCTCCCGATTAACTTATTGCAAAAGTAATCCTTGAATTGTAAAATGAACACCTCACAAGTCAAAGGTGTTCAACAGAAACTGTTAAACTGTACTTTATTTTTGTTTGTGATTGCTTTTTTTATGATATGTAAATTTGGTACTTTGAAACTAATTTTTAAACACAAAAAAACACAAAAAAGAAAAAAATATGTGTAGACATAAATAGTAACATCACAGGTGATTACGAGAATATATCTAAGGGGTGTGTCTACATCTCAACGCAGTCTTTGTCATCATAGTATGCACTTGAAGTATCGCTTCAAAGTGAAGTAAATTCCTGAAGCCCACTGCATAATTTCTAGAAAATGTGCAATTTTCTCTGTGGGTTTCTTTGTTATCACTTCACTTTGCTCCTGAGTTCTTAATTACATTTTCTTAACCTTGCGTATATTATGAGCATTCAAACGGAGGAAAGCTGCTACAAGAGAATATATGACATGTATGAAGTGGTATTAAAAACTCATATTGAACAATCATAAAATTACTGAAAAGAAAGACCATGACAAATTTCGACTGATACGTGTAGGTCGTAATATAATCCCGAAATTTGCATATTTCTGAGATATGAGATTTCTAAATTTTGCCCGAACTAAAAAAGTTTCATACGAGTAGTAAATATAATGTGCCATTATGTAATCCATTGAAAATGTTGATGCCCACTTATATTAATTTTATTTTGTTATATGAATGAATCACATAAATATAAATTTAAAATATATATTTTATTTTGTTTCAGGGATGAGCCAATCACAGCTGTTTAAACATCTACATGATCAGCCAAACAGTTATGGAGATATCACCTTCCAAGGCCCACACCTCCATCAAGAAACCAAAACCAGGAAGTTTCAATGTCCACATTGCGATAGATCTTTTAAAGCGGGCCTGCACCTAAAAGATCACCTTAATTCTCACACTGGAGAAAAACCATATACGTGTGAGATCTGTAGGAAAGGCTTTACACAATTGTCAACAAAGAGAAGACACATCAGGCAGTACCATAAACTGAAAAATTAGACATTGGTCAATTGCATAGTCCAATCTTTATTAATCATTTTGCATTAAATATTGATAATATTAAATAAATATAGTCCGAACTTTATGAAGACAATGAGCTTATAAGAATATTCATAAGTTCGCATACAATATTTGTTCTCTGTTTTCTCAAATACTAAACAAAGGGATGTCGATCTATATTACGATAGAGAGCAGAGCTCTTCACTTTAATAATTTTTTCTTCACCTTAAGTTCATTTTTAATTGCAATGAAATGGACTTTATTTGAACAAGGCAGTAAATATTTTCAATTTGACATTATATGGACGGAACACTTTAATTCCGATTCTAAATACAATTTTATTTAACCAATTTTTGACTTGCAATACACAGATCTGCCTCACACAACTCGATTGTAAACAGCAATGTAAATAGTGAAGTAACAAGCAACTTTATTCAATTTTCTGTTTGTGGTCCTATCTAAACGTTGTTTCACAAAATCACTATAACTGTCATATATACTGTCACTGTATACTATTATATTGTGACAAAACTAAGTTTATTATACATTATATAACCAAGACTTTATATGTCCAAGGCTGGTGGATCGACTAAGATTGTTTTGCCCTTCGTAACTAATAATGACGCTCCATTCAATGTGTCATCTTCTATCAGCTTAATCATCGCATCAGCTACTTCAGATGGCCTGCAAAAACATGTATGGCTAAGTCATATTGTTAAGCAATAAATATCATGATGACGATGCTGATCAAGTTCGTATAACATTCAATATATTTCTTCAATAGCAACAATAAAGCAATCAAATCAAATGTGACTCTAGACTACACGGGAAACAATCGACGTAACAGTACATATCACTAACCAACCTTTAGATCATTGATAATTCAAACCAAATAGTATATTACATCAAGTGAACATTGGCAATATATGCGAAATGACTGAGAAAAAGAAAAATTTCTCATGATGGTGTTATAGTAGCCTACACGCTCAATTAAGGTGCCATGGAAGTTAACAGGAAATGACGAAACAGGAAGTGACAAAAAAGGTTGCATTTTTAGACATTTTTTGAACAAAGATAACAGAGTTCTGGTTTGACCTCCAGTCAATTTAACTATTTCCACATTTATACATTTTTCAGAATTTTTCAGAAAATGTGCCCAATATAATGCTCTAACTGATACAATCTTTGAAATTTTAGAAAATTGTCTTAAACAAAAATGGTCATAAAAAGGAAAATAGATCACTTTTCAAATCAGTTTTTTCATTTTTTTCTTTTTCTATGAATTGTGATGACCCGTGATCAAAGGTGGTATACCCTTGTTTTCTGATCACTTGTCATCGTGTTAAATCCTTCTTAATATCAATGTATTATATTTAGTTTTAATTATAGCAATGTTATTTCCATGTTTTAATATTTAAAATTACATTTTCGTTTCACATTTTTCCTTCATAAAGTTTTGCATTGTACTTTGTGACCCTTTGACCTGTTCATTCAGTACAGTCTATATGCTGCTGCTATAGCAGAGCTTTAGTCTGAACCAAGTGAACTCTATTCAAACTTTTTGAATAGACAATTAGTTACAGTCTGGCTTTCTTAGATAATCCCTTAGCTGTAAGAATCATCCCTTTGTTCAGTGCCTGGTCCCAGGGCCAGGTGGGGTACAATAATATGGTAATTTGGCAACTTTTAGAATATAAACTGTCTGTTTCCTTTGGTCAAGAGACACTTTTACACCAGACCTTGACTGGAACACTTGGTTTCTACACATTTTTAGACATAAGCTAAAACATGTTGGATATCATTGAACAAAGGAAACGACAGTGACAATGGGTAAGCCACTTAATGTATTCTGGTGTGTTTTTGTAATATTGTATTTGTACTGATATTCTTTATTTGTGCTAGTATATTTGAGTATTATTTTGATTACAATAGATTTATTAAACTTTAATCTATTTGTTTCTTAATTTATTTCATATTATACACTTTAGTGCCCTTTCATATAAATTGAACATTCACTTTAATTTAACTATTTTAACTTCCACGCTACCATTGATTTAAATTACGCTTATTCCAATTTACTTTCCAAATTTCCACGCTACCATTCATTGTTATTGTATCTATTTCATTTGCCCCCATATTTACTTGTCACGCTACCAATTGTTATTTGTTTACTTTTCCCCCATTAACTGACGGCCCTGATTTTGTTTTTAGTTAAACGTATTTCCCCTGTGATTTGATTGTTATTATTTAACTATTGCCCCAGGGTCCTCTCAGAATGATATCAAATTTTCAAAGATTGTATAATTTAGAGCAATATATTGGGCACATTTTCTGTCCTGTGACCTTTCCAACCTCATATTTTTAGCTATTTTCAGTCACATTTTCATAGGGCTGAAAAAGTTATTTCATCATGTTTAGGGTTATTCTGGCCATGAACATTGTGACCCTGGACCTGTAAATGTTATTTGAAACAAGTTGAATTGACTGGAGGTCAAAACAGAACTCTGTTATCTTTGTTCAAAAAATGTCTGAAAATGCAAAAAAATTGTCACTTCCTGTTTTGTCATTTCCTGTTAACTTTCATAGCACTTTAAAACCAGAAGAGTTCAGGGAAAATGGAGTAGAGGTTAATATTTAGAGTCTCAACATCTGTTATATGTGAATGTAGAGATGTTGAAAGGTATCTAATCACCTCATGATAATGCCTGGGTCACATTTGCTCCGATTCATCGGTCGGCGCCCGGCCGATTGAGTGTTCTTGTCCAAATTGTATACAATTTAGAACTAAATACTCAATCGGGTGGGCGCCGACTGATGAATCGGAGCAAAAGTGTCCCATGCATAAATAAATACATAAAACTTTACTTTCTTTCTAAAATCAACTTATATTTCTTGGGTATTAGACATTGTTTCTTTTCATGTTAGATCATGGTTTTGGGCTATATGGGGTTTGTTTTTTCCTAACTGGTATGCACTTAGAGTTTGCTTTTTCTTGCAAAGTTCCATTACAACTTCTGGTCCTTTCCCTTTGGCACTAGTGCTTATATATTTGGTTTTTATTCACACTACCCTACCTCGATCGCGCATTCGCGAATCTTTTGGCTTTCAACCAGGTCGCTTTTGAGTATATCGACTGCTTAGTCAAAAGGTTAATACGTTTGGTGCTCGGAGTGAGTCAATATTGCTATTCGCTACACTTCAGTGGTGCAATAGTGAAGTCCATGTTCCAAGTTACTAGTATATGATAGTTGAAGAAAGAATGTAAATAATATCGTTTTATATTTTAAAATATTTGATATGTCATAGTACACGGTACACAGTTGCAAAAGTTGATCAATACAGGGTACAAGGAATGTAAATTGTTCAATAGTACAGGGAGCGAGAAAGTAAGCTGATTATACAGACATACTATGTCCCGACCTCATGTACATTTACGTTGCAAACAGTGAAAGTAATGCTAAAAAGGCCGCCTGTTGATGCTTTGAGGTGTCATCAATTGTTATTTAATCCAAATAAAGTAAACATTATTTTGTAGATTTAGACACGGCCTTTCAGGTCGTATGCATTTTAGTCATTAAATTAACAAAAACGCTAGATTATACGTGTTACTAAGGTATCAAATTGAAATAAAATAACGAAATTAAATATTAACACGTTAATGATAAATGACTATCCGCTCTCAGTATTAATGACTATCTGCTACTCAGAAAAATTAAAATTGCCTGAACTACATGTGAAGAATCTTTCTATAGAACCCCTTGAATGGTCTAATTCACTACCGTCCTCAAAAACCGATCATTCAAAATGTTTTATTCAAATTCACAAAAATACAGTTGACTAACATACTAGAAAACGTATCCACCTATAACACGATGACACGCAGTTTAAATAACAGTTAACTGGTTTTTTTGTTACATATCAATGTAACATTTTCGAAGGGAAACGTACATGCTCCCTGTACGTTGATAGATTTACTGAAATGTATCGTGTATTGCATTCGTGTTTTGCTTCACTGCGCCCACTATTATCTATCTTTGCCTATAGTGGTTTTTTCCAACAATATTCTACGCACTGCTTGATGAATCAATTCTATGTCTGGTAGAACACTAGAAATAAATCTAAAATGTATTTTACGTTCAGAAATATGGAATTAAACCCACGTGCTCCATTTGCAACTAAGCTGTACCCTGTTTCCCTTTTAAACGTCGTCACGTGGTAGGGTAGTGTGTTATTGCACATTTTACTGTTACTTCTTCAGTGTCTCAACTCTAACTTCCAAAGTCATCTAATCACCTTTGGTCATGCATAAAAACAAGTTTCACTCAACATATATGAATGGATATTCAAACACTGAGTTCTTATGCAATTAAGTGATGCATTAAACTCGAAGGGGTGAACCATAACACCATTACATTGAATAACAAATCATTTTTACATTTAATAAAGTTTAAGTATGCAGTACTGTCTTACTGTAGCATAGTGTTCGTTTTCCTGAACTGTTCTACAATTTCCACGGACGAAGTAAAATCATCTGGATGCAATACTTTACGTAAGTAATCTGTGCTCATCATTGGTGTATCTACCGGGGTTGGACAAACACAATTGAATCGTACACCCCAATCGTTAATCCTTGGACTCAACTAAAGAAAAACAATATCAACATATGTATATCGAAAATATATAGTTGAGGGAACACGATGCTGTTATGCAAAAGACATACATTCTTTGTTATTTTTTTTTATCAATATCTTTAATGATGCGAACTACGAACGGAGCTAACAAGTCAATGGTCGCTGCTGTATAAGTAGGTAATGACAGTGTACAAAGAGCGTACAGGGCATGCATTTAGAAAATGCACTACTCTCCACCATACTATAAACGAAGCCAACGAGTCTGAATTTCACTGGCATGTGGACAGTTTACATGGAGCCTGCATTTAGAAAGGTGTGTACTTCAAGAATTACAACTTACCGCCATACTACGAACGAAGCCGACAAGTCCATGTTTCGATGTAACATACGCTGACACTCCCCCAAA